ACAGCAGCCTCGAACTCCCGGGCTCAAGCAATCCTCCTGCCTCAGCCTCCTGAGTAGCTGGGACTAACTACAAGCACGTGGCACCCCACCCAGCTAATATAAAAAAAAATTTTTTTTTTTTTTTAGAAACAGGGTCTCACTATGTTGCCTAGCCTGGTTTCAATCTCCTGAATTTCAGCGATCCTCCCACCTCAGGCTCCCAAAGTGCTGGGATTATAGGCATGAGCCACCAATTTCTATTTTAAAGAGGTGAAAGAAAACTGATAAAAAGGATTGGAACTACAACCCTGGCCTCAGACTCTTCACCTTTAAAATCAGGATAAAGATTAAAGCCTCAGGAGGCAGGAGAGAACTAAATGGAATAACATATGTATTATATATGGCACCCAGCCTGCTGCATGGGCTGCAGTGGATCCTGCAACCACTGGGACTTCAAGAGGTAGACATTTACAATGCGTGGAAAAAAGAAGATTAAAAAAAGAAAAAAAAAAAAAGAAGAAGAGGTAGAAATGAAACTCACAAGTTATTTTTACTATTTCAAAGGACGAATACAAACCATGAACTGTCCCTTGATAAGACCACACAAGCTATTTAAGATTTCTTGTTTCTTTGCTTTTTGTTGCAATTACCTCTATGCAGTATGCTGATCCTGGGGGTTCCATGTTGACTAGAACTCTAGCTGACAGTTAAAGAAGTCTTAGTTTAATGAAAATGGAAAAGTGAACCAATACTTCCTAAACGCGGTCTGGCTAGTAGACATCATCCTGCCAAAACCTGGAATCCAAGAGAGAAAGTCAAAGGGGGCGTGGAAGTGAGAAGGTGGGGATCTGCTGAGCACCTACTGTGTGTTAAGTGCTGGACTACATGTCTTGTGTAATCCTCACTAAATCCCTGTGCCGTATCTTCATCCCATTCTGTGGGTGAGAGATCAAGTATCTTGCTCAAGATCACACCCAGCAGAGCCAGAATTCACCCCCAGGTATGGATGTAAAGCCCCCGCTGAGTAGCAGCTGGCTCTCTGTCCTGAAGAGGGATCAGCGCAAGAGAGAAGACAGACACAAGGGCAGCCCCAAGGAGTTGGCTCTTAACCTTGAGCCCACACACCCCTGCCTCTGTTGGGCATGTTTGCTTTTCTTCTAGTTTCCAACAAACTGCTTGAGCCGACCCAGCTCAAGCCTAGAGTAGAGAAAAGATGCTGGGGCAGAAGAAGGAAGCAGGACAAAAGGAAGCTGTCAGATTTCTTGCTTCTTCACTTAGTTTCAATAAGTGCTAAGGCACTGGGCACAGTGGATCACACCTGTAATCCCAGCACTTTGGGAAGCTGAGGCAGGAGAATTGCTTGAGGCCACGAGTTTCAGACCAGCCTGGGCAACATAGCAAGATGCTGCCTCTACAAAAAATAAGAAAACTTAGCCAGACATGGTGGTACATGCCTGTAGTCCTAGGTATTTGGGAAGCTGAGGCTGGAAGATCACTTGAGCCCAAGAATTTGAGGCTGCAGTGAGCTATGATTGGGCCACTGCACTCCAGCCTGGGTGACAGAGCAAGACCCGGTTTCTAAAACAAACAAAACAAAATTTAAAAAGTGCTAAGGGCACTGCATGCCAGCCCCTCTACACCCACTGTCGGATGTAATTCTCCCACACAGTAATCCTAGGAGGTTATGGGGAAGTATCCAAATTTTACAGATAAGGAAACAGGGTTGGAAGGAGGGCAACACACTAACCAGGAAGCTGGAGCCAGGGATGGCAAAGCCCTGTTTGTAGAGGTAGGCGCTACAGAAGAGCAGGAATACGTAGGCCTGGTGCTCCTTTCGGTACTCCCGCAGAACCTCGGACAGCTCCCGCAGCTCTGCCAGGTCTGAGGGGAACCACAGCGACCTGGGGATTTAGAAAACAGATGGAAAGCCGAGTCCAGATCAGCCCAGCGCCTGAAAAGTCACTTGCTGTGTCTTCTTTCCAAAGTAGGTTTATAAACATGCCCATTGTCTGGTCTGCTGGGAACACATACATAATGTGAACCCAAGATGATAGGTGATCTGACACGACACAGTAGAGGCAGACAGAAGGGCCTAGGTTTGGAAGCAAGAGAATTGGGTTAGCATCCCAACTCTGCTACTTTCCAGTTGTGTGACCTTGGGCTAGTCGCTGCGCCTCAGTTTCCTTATCTATGAAATGAGGGGGTTTGTAATCATTAAGTTCCCCTTTACCTCTCAGATTTTGTGATCTATTCTGAAGAGGCAAAGGGATTCAATTCCAGGCAAGTACTAAAAGTCCTAAGCCACCTTCCTTTCAAGGACACCCTCAAGAACAATTCAGACTTCACACTGTTTTTAAGGTACTAGGTAAAACGACTGTTTTATCATTCACTAATATACCAATTAAAGAGTCTCCAGAAAAGTATATCTAACCTACTCCATAACCATAACTTTCTTGCTATGTCAGACTTGAAACCAACCCTTTGAAAGAGCCTACTTTTTCACCCTGCTCTTACTGTGGTCCTCGGTACACTCTGAATCCTGTCCAAGGGTTATAGTGTAAAGGCTACCTTGCCTCTGTCATCTGAACAGTCCGTGAATCTATCACTAATCAATTATGAGCACATTCTCTTAGCTCTCAGGAGATTATTTATCTTAGGATGTCTCACACACAGCAGAGCCTTCTCAGCTAGAGCAAAAGAATATATAATAGTAACTGAAAACAGTTGTCCTAATATTCAAATATCAGCAAATCCCTTGACAACGCAATGCTGTGCTAGACACACTTCCATACACTTTCTACAGTATACGGCACTTGGAAAAACCGGCGGGGCAGGTATTGCTCTGCCTCCTGCCTCACCCAGGAGGGGGAAAGTAAAGCCAGGAAGAGGGGCTGATTCCATAATTAATTCATGAATAATTTTAAGTTGTCCATGCAACCTTTCTCCTGAAAACCTAATGTCTTAAAGTCCCAAGGGCAGCCCTGATGGACGTGGGATGGGGTGGGGAGGAGGACAGGGAGGCTGAAAGTGGACGTGAAGTGGCTGGGGGTCCACACGGGGCGAAGGTCGGCTGGAAACGGGCCAGGGCTGGGACTGGGAAAGCCGCGGCGCCCGCAGAGTGCGCGGGCAGCCTCAGCCGGGCTCAGGCGCTGCGTCTGCCTCCGCAAGCCACCACCCCGACCAAAGGGACCGCGCGCGCCGCGACAGCACTCCCCGCGCAGCCGGCAACACACAGGTCCCAGTCAAGGCCGGGCCCGGGCTCCCATCCATCCGGCCTGTCCGAGACGTGTACACGCGGGCCCGGAGCCGACCCGGATCTCTAGTCCTGGAACTGAACCTCAAATCCAAACCCTGACGCCTCCGATTCCGGAACCCGAATTTCCGATTCCCAGCCCCCATCCTCGGACCCGCTCCCTTCCTCTGACCCGAACCCCGATCCCCGCCACGCACCTGCCTCCAGTCTCCTCGGTGGAGCCCAGTCTCCGCCCTCGGGGCAGTCGCGTCGACAGCAAGTACAGGGCGAAGGTGCAGCCGGCAAAGACCAGAAGGAGGCCGAGCAGCGGGCGCATTTCGGCGCCGCACCCCGGCCCGCGGGGCGGCCGCAGAGCTCAGTGTAGCGCCGGACCTCGCGGCGCGCACTGAGCCTGCGGAGCACGTTCGCTGACGGACCGGGGTGGGGGTCCGCGCCAGGCCCCGCCCCCTGCCTACGCCCCGCCTCCAGGCCCGGACTCCGCCCACTGTGCCCCGCGGCGGGGCTTCGGAGAAGCTGCCTTCCAGTGTGTCCCTGCGAGCAGGGGAGCGTCTGTCCTCTGCCGGCATGTCTGTGCATGTTTTTCTTCGTCATCCCTGTCTCTTTCTCCACTTATTCTGCAGGCGTTGAGCGCCCACAGTGCTGGCTCTGTGCCAGGGCTGGGAGATCCGGGGGTGAACCATGAGCCCTGCCCACAGCGAGCTTGCAGTCTGGTGGTCAGGACAGTCTTGTCCACAGCCTGCTGTCACACAGAGCAAATGTAGCCAGGGTAGAACTAGGAGCTGCAATCAAGTGCGGTGGGACAATAGCGACCACCGAAATATTCATAACTGCTTTTTATTCAACACCTACTATATTCCCATTATTCCTAATTCTCACAACCATCTTGACAGATACGTATTTTGGTCTCTATTTAACAGATGAAAAGCCTGAGTTTCAGAAAGATTAAATGCCATCCCTCCCACCCCCAAGGAGAGCCAGGATAAAAATTCAAGTCAACCTGGGTCAAAACTAGTGCTCCTTACACTGCGTGGATTTATGGAGGAGGTGGGGTTTAAGTTTACCTTCAAGGATGAGCAAGACTTCCACAAGCAGAAAAAGTAAGGAATGAGTGAACTAGGGCTCAAGTAAGGCACTTGAGTCCGGTTTCAGTGACGCCTAAAATATATGAGAAATGAGTGAGAAACTGGGGACAAACAGAACATTGAAGGCAGGCTAAGGAGCTGGATTTTTAATATTGTAGATTGTGAGACATCAACAGCAGTGTTTAAGTAAGAGAATGATTCAGTTCCTCCTTTTAGGGTGTTCTCTTTGGCAGATGATTAGAATACATGCTAAGTTGATAGCTGGAACTGCCCCAATAAGAAAGGACACAGGACTGAGTGGGAACCACAGTGCTGGTAATGGAGGGAGGAAGATGGACAGGCTGGGGGGAGTTGAACTGGTAGGAGACATGACTGATTAAATGGAGGAAGGGGCAGAGAGGACCCCAAAGTGTTAAAAGCCTAGACAACAGAGAGAAAGCATCCTTGTCATATCATTCAAAGTATCTATTGAGCCAAATAGGGAGCACTTGTCAGAATTCATGTATACAAGAGCCCAGCAATTCCACATCCAAGAATTTAACCTACAGATATACATACCCTACATAGACAAAAATATATGTTTAAGGGTATCCTTTCAGCTTTCTCTTTGGTTTTTTTTTTTTTTCTTTGAGACAGAGTCTCACTCTGTTACCCAGGCTAGAGTGCCATGGCATCAGCCTAGCTCACAGCAACCTCAAACTCCTGGGCTCAAGCAATCCTCCTGCCTCAGCCTCCCAAGTAGCTAGGACTACAGGCATGCGCCACCATGCCCGGCTAATTTTTTCTATCTATTTTTAATTGTCCAGCTAATTTTTTTCTATTTTTTTTGGTAGAGACAGGGGTCGGGGGGGTGTCTCACTCTTGCTCAGGCTGGTCTTGAACTCCTGAGCTCAAACGATCCGCCTGCCTTGGCCTCCCAGAGTGCTAGGATACAGGCGTGAGCCACCGTGCCCAGCCTCAAGCTTTATTTTTTATATTAAGAGATTGGAAACAACCAAAATGCCCATTGGTTGGGAACTGGCTAGATTACTTATGGTACAGTCACAAATGGAATACTAGATAGCCTCCTAAAACAGGGAGGCAATTGTATAATATATATCCTGATACAGTGCAGTCACCAGATGGATGGCTAGGATAAATATTGAACAAACAAAGTCCACTTGCTCAAGGCTTCTTTGGAGTGGCTCCGGGTCATGGTAAAAATTTTAAAAATAAATAATTAATGAATTAATTTAAAAAATTGAACAAACAAGTTGCAGGGTTAAAGTACACTATGACTCAATTTTAAGAAGAAAAAAGAGGATACACTTTATCTTTTCAAATATTTGTAAATGAAATTATTCAGTGTCTGGGATTTGTGTCAAAATAACAGGATGGAAGTTCAGAGAGTAGGGATATGATAGAACAAGATTAGCTATGAGTTGATAATTGTTAAAGCTGGCTGCTGGACACATGGATATGGGTATAATAATATTTCCTCTGTTTCTGCATATGTTTGAAATTGCCACTTAAGCAAATAGGGGGAGGCCAAGCACAGTGGCTGACACCTGTAATCTCTGCACTTTGGGGGGCTGAGGCAGGACAATCACTTGAGGCCAGGAGTTGGAGACCAGCCTGGGCAACATAGTAAGACCCCATCTCTACAAACAAATTAAAAAATTATCCAGGCATGGTGGCATGCACCTGTAGTCCTAGGTACTAGGAAGGCTGAGGCAGGAGAATAACTTGAACCCAGGAATTTGAGGTTACAGTGAGCTGTAATCATGCTCACTCCAGCCTGGGTGACAGAGTGAGGAGCTATCTCGAAAGGAAAGAAAGAAAGAGAGAGAAAAGGAAAGAAAAGAAAGAAAAGCAAGAAAATGAGGGGAAATGGCCTCAGCCCTCTATTCCAGCTGAACACATACCATCTTAGTTCATGCCTCTGACAACACTGTTCCTGCCATCTGGCAATCTCTGCCTGGCGAATTTCTACTTGTTGTCAACATTCAGGACAACTGTCACCTCCTCTGAGAAACCTTCTCCAGATCTCACAATCAGAAAAGTTGTTCCCTCTGTATGCTTAGTGTTCTCTGAGAAATATCTGTACTCCTATTGCAAATATATGCTCCAGCGTCATTATCCACACTATATGGGCAGTGAACATTTCCATAAATGAGACAATGTCTCATCTGTCTGTCTCAACCCTTAATGCTGTGCTTTTATTGTTGGCGCTTAATAAATGTTTGTTAAGTTAATGGGTCAGGTGTACTGAAGGCAGCGATTAGTTGGTTTGGTACATGTTGACTTTGAGAAGCCAAAGGCATATAAGAGGAGAAGAAGTGAACGAGGAACTGACGTTACGGAGCCTATGCCAGGAGGATGCTGGGGCAAGGGCTACAGCAGGGAGCACAAAGGCGAGGCTCCTGCTCTTAAGGATCTTACTTTCCCCACGGCTGGGAAGAGCGTGGAGAGATGTAATTATAGAGCATGGTGAGTGCCACGGAGGAAATAGACATGGCGAAGCTTATTCCACTCCAGCAAAGCAAGTGCAGTATTCCACTGTGGGTGAGCGGCTGAACAGGTGTTCAGATGCAGTCACTTGTGAAAAGCCCAAGCTGTGAGTGCAGAACAGGACACAAGCCCTTGTCTGCCAACACCTGAGCCCATGCCCTTTGCTGTGCCCTATGGCACCACTCAACAAGCAAGAGAAAATCCAGAGCTCAGGCTGAACATTCAGATTTGGAGGTCCTCTGTCTGGAGGAGAGAGTTGAAATGAGGGGAGGAGAGAAGGCCTCCTGGAAACCCCGTGAGAGGGAAAGTAACAGCAGCTGACACTCATTAAGTACTTAGTACACTCCAGACCCCATAATTAGCATTTTAACATGTCTGAGTTTATTTATTCCATATAACAACCCTCATGCAGTAAGAACTCTTAACAGCTCCGCTTTACAATACAGGAAACAGAAGCTTAGGAAGAGTTAAGTAAGTGACAACAACAGAGGTCCCACACCTTGTAAACACCAGAGCCTAATCTCTTACCACGCACTGCCTGTTTGAGAAAGAAGACTGAAATCAGAAGCCTGGCAAGAAATAGCGGAACCCAGGAAAGAGAACAAGATGGCTCCCTCAGGGATGTGGAATGAGAAACAGGGAAAACAGTGTCCTGAAAGCCCAAGAGAGACTGTTAGAAAAGGCACCAGTAGACAGAGCCAGAGTCCATGGAGAAACCCACCAGGGAAATCTGAAGGTCATGAGATTTGGCCAACAGGAGGTGGTAAGCGACCTTTGACAGCCCTTTCAGGTGGGGCTAATACCCCTGTCCTGTCCCCCGGACTCCTGATTCCTCCTGCTCAACCTGTCTGTTTGAGGACAGAAGCCCTGGACTGTGATCCCCACCCCCAACCACCTCCACCCTGGTCCCCACCCCAGCACCTGCAGAGCAACTCTAACCCGCCAGTGCACCTCCTGCAGGCTGCACCAGCCTCCGTGGAAGCCACTGGTTCACACACAGCACATGCCCTGCAGTCTGACAGGACAAACCCATCCCCCACCAGGAGCACAGGCTGGACTGGGAAACAGGTGGGTGCCAATGGCTCAGGAAAGTGGGAGGGAAGAAAAGGTAAGAGGTTCCAGCTTCAGTGAATCAGCCAGGCACTCACCGAGGTTCTTTGTCAACAGCACACAACCTTTTCCAGCGTAACTGGACTTGCCCAGAGCAATTGAAAGGAGTAGCTCTGAAGATCACCTGATTTTGCTTCCCCACCCCCACCCCAGCCATAACTGGAGTGGGATGGATAACTTCCCCAAGAGGAGGGTCCAAGGGTTGTTTCCTCTCCCTGAACTTTGGAGTTGGCCACCTGGTCAGTGGGTGGCCAAGAACCTAATGACTCTGCCCTGTGGGGAGAGCCGCTAAGCTCCTCAGAGAGATTAGTGGCAGAGCACTGGGGTCAATAAAAGCCCATGACTGCTTATTGCTGATGGCTCCAGGGCGCTCCCATCCCTCGCCTTCCTGAGGTCTGATGATTCAGCTCTTCTTGGGTTTCCCCAAGTCTTCTCTGCCTCTCAATAATCTACAAAATTTGGATTAGTGTGAGTGGATTTCTGTTCCCAGCATCCAAAGTCTCCTTGGCTAAGATGGAGTTCTGTAGGAATGAGAGCAAGGGGCGTGGGTCCCAGGGTCGGGTTTTGGAAATAACACAGGTAAGTGTGTTGATGTCTGAATCAGAGTGGAGGTGATTCCCTCGGGTTCCTAAGCATGAATCCATTCCCTTCTGTTCAAAAGGCATTTATTGAGTGGCTCCTTTGTGCCTGGCATTGTGCTAGGTGCTAGGGCGGCAAAAACAAATAAATAGCAGCTGCTCTCGTGGAGTTCACAGTTTCAGAGGAGTTAAAGACACAGAAACGTATTACAGTATGTCATGATAAAAGCAGTGATGGAAGCATGTACAAAGTTGGTGGCAAAGTGGGTGTAAGGGAGAAAAGTAAATAATGGAAAAGTAAACAATGGAGGATTTTCAACTACAGCTTGGAGTCAACCAGTCATGATGTAGGGTCCTGAAGGATTTTAGCAGTGGTGCTAAAACAAGGCGGGGAGGGGGTAGAAATCTCCTAGACTTTAGGACCGGTGGGCTTGCTGGGGAATGGTGTTGGGCCCACCTGGAAGATGCGATAAGGAGTGATGAGAGAGCCAACTTCTTTTTTTCCAGGGAGCCTGGGAAATGGGCGATTGGCCTCTAAAGATAATGGAGACAACAGTAACCAAGGCATCTGGGAGAAAAGTCTGAGTGCAGAGAAGTAGCCACCCTCACGGAAATGGGCTATGGCTAGGCTGGAGGCGAGGTCGTTACTCACAACTGAATGTGGGGCTCAGAAGATAACGGTGTTCATTTAATAAATTTTTTTTTTTTTTTGAGGCAGAGTCTCACTCTGTTGCCCGGGCTAGAGTGCCATGGCGTCAGCCTAGCTCACAGCAACCTCAAATTCCTGGGCTCAAGCGATCCTCCTGCCTCAGCCTCCCAAGCAGCTGGGACTACAGGTGCATGCACCACTATGCCCGGCTAATTTTTACTATATGTATTTTTAGTTGTCCAGCTCATTTCTTTCTATTTTTTTAGTAGAGATGGGGTGTCACTCTTGCTCAGGCAGGTCTCCAACTCCTGAGCTCAAAGAATCCACCTGCCTCGGCCTCCCAGAGAGCTAGGATTATAGGCGTGAGCCACCACGCCTGGCCGATAAATTTTTCTTGAATGCAGACTATGTTGTAGGCAGATGGCTCCTGCCTTGCAAAGCAGTCTAGTAAAGAAGACAGATATTAATCAAATAATCACAAAAAAAATCTTAAAAATACAAATTAGAAAGTGCTATGAAGGAGAGGTACAGTGTGCCATGTGTGAAAATGAGGTTCAAGAAGACTTGCTCGAGAAGCGGCAGTCGAGCTAAGATCCGATAGGAGATCCATTAGGGGATAATGGGTAAAAAGAGGAGGGATGAGGGCGGACTATAAGTTAATCGTGTCTTGGATCTGGGATTCTGACAGATATACTATACTGACGAAGAGAAGGGAGGAGAGGCAAGGATAACAAAAGACAGAGTCAAAAGGTCCAGTGGCCGTGGCAGGAAGGTTTCGAGAAGAAAGTGGCCACACTGCCTTTATTTCTCCCGATCACCGCTATTTGAAACTTAGTGAAATACATCTCCACTCCAGTGAACAAACTTCCTTCCTTCCTTCCTTCATCCATCCATTCGTTCCTTCATTCCTCCACCCACCGATCCCGCAGACACTTATCCAGAGCCCACGGGAGCCAGGTACTGTGCTAGGAGAGCCCTGGCCCAAAGAGTTCAAAAATTGATAGAAATTCTATTTCTGGTATTTTCTTGCTATTGTTTTGACCCCCTGCTTACCAGGCAAGGAAAGAACACAAAAAAGTGACTGTGCTAATCAAAATACAGGACCAATGAAACCCTAAAAGGAAACGGCAGCCTATCAGCACACTGGTCTCTCTACCCACAAGTGCTGAGGAAACGAGGCAAGGAGGAAGGGCGGTGAGATGTCCAAGCAGAAACGTCGCAGAGGCTCACTCCACTCAGGCCAGTCATCCCTCACTTAAGTAAAACAGACTCTGCATTTGATACACATATAAATCTGTAGGCATCTGTGCCACGCAGGAATATATTTACAGATTTCTATAATTTTTGAAATACAGAGTCCATTTCTTTACAATGAGGGCTGTTTTCACAGAAAGCAGTTGAAGAGCAATCGTTTGGGTAAGGAGGAGGTTACAGGGCCTGCGACACCCAGGAATCCCACTAACCTTCCTGCTGCAGTGGGACAGGCCATGCATGTGGCCCCAGGGATTGTATTGCCTTCGTTCTGGCCTCTCTGGCCTCAGCTCTCCAGGACCACTCAACTTGGCTGCTGCTATCATTCCAGATTCACAGATCGCACCTACCTCTGGGGAAGTCTAAAGATTCCTTAAACTGGAGGCTTCAGATGCTCTAAGAGCAAACTAATTTATGCTTTGAATTCACATGTTAGCAAAATACTTCATTCCAAAAGGTTAACATTAATTATCTCTAACAGGCAGGATTGTGGATGGTATTTTTTTCATTTTGCATCAATGCATTTTCTAAACGTCCTTCAATAATCACAGATTGCATCGGTAATAAGGAAAAATAAACATTTCTTAAGGGTTGCTTAAAATGAGGGTTGCAGTGGCTCATTCCTGTAATCCTAGCACTCTGGGAGGACGATGTGGGAGGATCGCTTGAACTCAGGAGTTCAAAACCAGCCTGAGCAAGAGCAAGATCTATCTCTACAAAAAATACAAAAATTAGCCAGGCACAGTGGTGTGTGCCTGTAGTCCTTGCTACTCAGGAGGCTGAGGCAGGGAGATCGCTTGAGCCCAGGAGTTTGAGGTTGCTGTGAGCTATGATGACGCCATGGCATTCTACCCAGGGTGACAGAGTGAGACTCTGTCTCAAAAAAGGAAAAAAGAGGGATGCCTGACAAGTGAGCCTTCTCCACCCTAGGTGAAAAACAGGCTCTGCTTTTTCCTCTCCTGCCTCGTGCTGCATCCCCCGTCACTGTGCTGTGAGGCCACCCCACTGCCGCCTCTGCCCTTCTCTCATCCACTTAGGACCTAGTCCATCCCTGCCTCCCCCACTTCCTCCGTGCCCCAACACTTCTTTAGAGAAGATGGGAAGCCAGAGTGTGGCTTTCTTGCCATCCCAGAGCAAACAGCCCAGGAGAGAAACTGGTCTTAATAAGGAGAGGCTCTCTTATTGCGTATTAGATAAGCCCTATCAAAATAAATAAAAGCATATTCACATTTACCAAACATCTCACAGATGTGGCACCCATGGGATTTCAAAAAACCCTTCATAGACTTGCCTCCCAAACCCACACGACAGCCCTGTGAGGTAGGTCAGTTTCACTCCCCTGTCCAGGCGGGGCACTGCAGGAATTTAGCACAGGGATGTGGAGTCCAGTCCAAAGTGAGGCCTCCAGCCCGTCCCTGTCTCTAAGATGCTTGACCTGCAGCCGTGCTGGGCAGAACCGCCTGCGTGACGGCCGGCAGAGGCAGCAGCATCGACAGGTCAGAACAAACGAGGCCCCAGGACGCGGCAGAGACAGTGCCGGGCTGCTGCGAGCCTGGCTATTTCTGACTTGCCCTAGTTAGGGGCTCCCCTCCTAGGATCCTTTCATAATCACAAGGTTGTTTGACGTTGTGCAACGTGACATCCATAGGACGCTACTGAAAAAAGCCTTGGTTTTTCTGTACTTTTTGAGCCTTGATGATAAGGTGAGGTGAAGCTTTAAAACAGCCTGTAGTGGCAGCTTTCTTGGTATTACTGGTGCCCACGTGTCCTGGCAACGGTTACATCTGCAGCTTTGGGCAAAGAATAGGTTGGAACACTGTTTCAACGTTTTCCGTCAGGACGAGATCATACCGGCACAACTGGGGCCTGGGAAATTGAGACAAAATATCCTGGTCAATAACATCGCAAAATACCACATTCTAGTAAATTGTATTATATCCTTGGGATATGAAATTACTTAGCAATTATTTCTAATAATATGGGGAAATGCTTATAGTAAGTAAAATAGCAACGAGAAAGTACGATGTAAAATTTTATTTACTATATAACTTCAACTAGGTTTAAAAACAATAATAGAAAGAATATTAGAAAAAATAACCAAAAATATCAACAGTGGTTGCCTCTGAATAATGATGATACAGATGACATTTTTCTGCTTCCTAAAGCAGAAAGTTCAGTACTTTCCAGATTTTATAAAATGAACATGTATTCCTTTGATATTCAGGAAAAAAATATTTAAAAGTCCTACCATTTTAGAATGTAACGACTATCCTCTTAGAAGAAATTTGTATTATTAAATATTTTAGAATATCCTAAACCTTCAAGAAAAAGGAATTCATAAAGTACTAAGCGCTCACATCATTTCTTGTCTCTCTCTCTCTCTGCCTGCAGGTTAGATGCTGGGACTACATGGTAGAGTGGCATTTGTCACAAAACATACACATCAACACAGCTCTGCACTTATTGTTTTCCTCTCTCTCCCTCTCCCTTTTTTTCTGCCTCTCTCTCTCCATGCACACATTGTTGTTTGTTTTTTCTGAGCCAATTGAGAATAGACTGTTTACTCCTCAATACTTCAGCGTGCCTTTCCTAATAAGGACATTCTCAGTGCAGCTATCAAATTTGAGAAATTTAACACCTATATAATATTTTTAGACCGTCAATGAAATAAAATATTCTAATTTTCCTGTACCTTTATTAATACTAGGCTCTGTTTTACCAGTTTGCCAAATTCTACAAAGCTTTCTTTTTTACAACAAATTATCCACTTGCAAGCAGTGTGGGTGGTTAGGGAGGAATTATATAACTCTAAGCACATAACACTATTTCCTTGGCTTACTGGGCCATTTATCTTTAAGCACATAACAGTATGATTTTCTTGGATTACTGGGCTACTTGTTTTTAATCAAAACAATTTTTGGAAAACCCTTTACTTTCTGTCACTGTGAACGATGGAGTCTTGTGAAAACATCAGAGCAAGCAGATTGAACAGGATCCAACAACATGGAAAACGGGGGCTTGTCAAACCCTGCCTTCAGCTTACCTTTCTGGATGGGCCAGGGACCTCAACTTCATTCGCAGAATCCTGAGTTTGTACTTGGGGCCTACTACAGATCCTGTAGAGAACATCAAGGATATTGCTGCCACTTTATCCAGATCTTGGTTAAATCTTGCAAGTAGACTCACCTGGTGATATTTCTGAAATGTGGCAGGTTCACTGAAAGGAAGAAATAATATTGAAAAATATAGATCGCTAACGACAGAAAGCAGTTTTGCAGCCCATAAATCACTGGTAAGCAGGTAACCACATGACCCTATAGCCTGCACTAGCTGACTTTCATGGGCAAAGCCCACTGATTGCAGAGGACTGTGCACGTGAAGCTACTGACCCCCAAATGATGTTAGAGAGCCATGCTGCTAATGACTGCCTGTGACACGCCAGACCGTGTCCTCATCTCTTGACACATCTCTCCGAGCCCCTGAAACACGCTGCGAGGTAGGTACTATTCTCATTTCACAGACAGGGAAACAGATGCTTATATATGCAGCAGTGCAGGGATTCAAACCCAGTTTTGGCTGAGTTCAAAGTTATGGACTTTCCTTTAAACCCTATTGCTAGACGTACATGTATATTTTCAGCCAAACTAGATACTAGCTGGGTTGCGCTTAAGTATTTATTTTTTCAGTCCTCCCTCTCAAGATGAACCTCAAAATAACTAAATCCAGGCTCCAATACTTTTTCCCAAGTGTGTGGAGATGTTTTCTACAGTTGGAATCCCAAATTAAGCCTAAGGTATAGCACTGGGAACATGCAGCTCGGTCGTTGTTCTTCTGTGGAGCTGGGAGACCTGAGGAGCCCCTGAGTTCAGAAGCAATAGGCTTGCTCTTGACGTGAACCCTTAGTTTGGGGGCAGGGTGGATGTGAGGAGGTGTCACCCCAGCGCCACTGGAATCATGTGTAAGTCCTGTGGAAAGCACAAGTGCCACAAGTAAAACTAATCCACAAGGTCCCCAGATTTTGGTTTCTAAATACCATCTCCACTAAAAGGAACCAGGGCTCCTTGGAGAAATGGTTGATTCCAGGGCCGGGCAGGGAAAGTGCAAAGTGATCCTAGAACACCCTGTGTGTCAGAAAATAAGGAAGTGCTTGAAAGAGTGATGAAAATGTGCAAAAAGACAGAATCACCTCACACCCATTCAGATGGCTACTGTCAAAATGACAGAAAATAACAAGTGTTGGTGAGGATGTGGAGAAAATGGAACCCTTGTGCTCCATCAGTGGGATTGGAAAATTATGGGAAACAGTACGGCAGTGTCTCAAAAAATTAAAAAGAGAATTACCATAGGATCCAGCAATCCCAATTCTGGATATATATCAAGAAGAATTGAAAGCAGGGGCTCTAAGAGACATGCACACCCATGTTCATAGCACTATTCACAATAGCCAAGAGATGGAAGCAACCCAAGTGTCCACCCATAGATGAAAAACGTAAATAAAATGTGATATGTGCAAACAATGGAATATTATTCAGCCTTAGAAGTGAAGGAAATCCTGTCATATGCTCCAGTGTGGATGAACCTTGAGGATGTTGTGCTAAGTGAAATAAGCCAGTCACAAAAAAACAAATACTGTATGATTCTACTTCTATGAAATATCTAAAGTTGTCAAATTCATAGAAAGAGAAAGTAGAATGGCATTTACTAGGGGCTGGGGAAGTGGGGAAAGGGGAATAGTTTAATGGGAATAGAGTTTCAGTTTCACAAGATGAAAAAGTCCTAGTGATCTGTTTCACGACAATGTGAATATACTTTAACACTACTGAAATGTACACCAAAAAATGATTAAGATGGCAAATTTTATGTCTTTTTACCACGATAAAAAAGAAAAAATTCTTAAAAGACAGACAATAACAAGTGTTGACAAGGATGTGGAGAAATTGGAACCCTCATATATTGCTGGTGGGAATGTGAAATGGTACAACTATAACTTCTTTGGAAAAAATTTTGGCAGTTCCTGAAAATATTAAACATAGAGGTACCATATTATGAGCCAGCAATTTCATTCCTAGGTATATACCCAAGAGAAATGAAAATGCATGTCCACATAAAAACTTATATACACATGTTCATAGGAGCATTATTCATAATAGCCAAAAAGTGGAAAAAACTCAAACGTCCATCAACTGATAAGTAAAATGTAGTATACACACACAATGGAATATTATTTGACCATAAAAAGGAATTAAGTATTGCTATATGCTACAACCTGAATGAATCTTAAAAACATTATACTAACCAAAAGAAACCAGACACAAAGACCACATATTGTATGATTCCCTTTATATGAGATGCCCAGAAAAGGCAAATTCATAGAGAAAGTAGATTAGTACTTGCCAGGGGTTGGGGGCAGGGGGTGACAGAAATAAGGAATTACTACTAATGGATATGGTGTTTCTTTTTCTTTTTTTTTTTTTTTTTGAGACAGTGTCTCACTCTGTTGCCCGGGCTAGAGTGCCGTGTCTGGTATTTGAAATATCTGAAGTTCTTGGGG